AACGGAGAGAGAGAGAGAGAGAGAGAGAGAGAGAGAGAGAGAGAGAGAGAGAGAGAGAGAGAGAGAGAGAGACTCAGCTCTAAATGTCATGTATGTATACGTGGACCCCCTACATAAAGACACCCTTCACACAGATTACACTGCAAAATCATTCCCCTTTTTATTGGGCAGTGGCGGCGATTTATTTGACAGAATACACCTTTCAACCACCAGCCCCGCTATTCAGCCCTCTTCTTGTTCATCCCATACAACGAGGTTTGACTGTAAGTGTAAGTGATAAATTTGTTCATTTATTTATTCTTAAGTCACAGTGTTCGAGGATGACAGACTAAAAGGAAGTTTACGGGTTGCTTGTAGCCGCCTGTGGCTGCTTTAATTTTTCACGAACAGATTTTTCCTATCCTACATTTTTCCTTATAGCAAAACAAGCTTATAAGCTTGTAACATTCTAGTTGTTTGACATGATTTAATCTTCTAGAAACGCCATGGAAACATAAATAGAAAACAGAGAGCAAACATTGAGAGCTGGTAAAACAATCAGAAAGAGACAAAGCTGAGTACTGCGACGTGCCAGAAATGCACCACAGTTCTCAGCCTCCTTTGTCATTGCTTGAAAGCGAGCAAGGCATGGGTCAGCTGCCGAGTTGTTCAGAGAAGGGAGATCCGTCTCAAACACTTGATCGGTCATGCACACTAAGTTACAGTCTGGTAGATCAACCTGTGAAACACATAGGCAGAATGATGCATTCATTCCGTCAATAACTTTCCCGCGATCAGGTATATCATGAGGTTCCATTGCTATAAATTGTTCACGGTGGTAAGTCTTGATAACATCAACTGAAGATCTCTTCAATGGGATTTTGACACCTGTCTCAGTACTCCTGTTTCTTTCGAATTCCTGTTTTATGTAGTATTTGAATATTTTCGTCAAGGTGCTCAGCTTTAAGAACAAGTCTTCGCTTTGCTTTGATAAGGTTTCTTGATCTGTACTATACAAAAAGAATCTCAAGGTGTATAGGTACCGTTCCAATACCTTATCATGAAAAATGAAAGGAGCAATCGTTGTGTTAAGAGGCAGATCAAGTATTTTGGCAAGATGACAGGAGAAAAATACAGGTAAATATCTGAACTGAAGGTCATTTAGAGGATATTCGCCCTTAAGAATAGCAAAAATCGCGCTACGATATTTCGAACACAAACCCGAGGGTCTTAGAACATAATCCTTATTACATCTAGTTATGTCACACCCAAGATTACGTGTGTTGTTTGTAAAAGACGAGCTACAAGTTGCCTTTCGCCACAGGCCTATGTATCTTCCTTTTAGAAAATCGTAGGAAAGTTTAAGATCTCCATTTTTAAGTATAGCTAAAACCGAAAACATATGCTGATGTCGATGCTTCTTGAGACTTGCCCTTGGCTTTGTTATTGCAAAGATACCGAACTTACAATACGCACAGTAAATGTTCTTGAATGTTTTCCCATGACTGTCGACGTAAGAGAAGAAAGTGTCACATTTCTTGGACCACTCATGAATAGACGTTGTATTATCACCTAGCTGATCTAGCTGATGGCATCCGTCTTTGCCCTTAAGAAAGACTTCTGATATACAGACTGCTTACTGGACCTTAAATTTTTCATTTGAAACCAAGGGGGAGATGTAGATTGGGGATACTGTGAAATCAATTGACTTTGAAAAGCTCTCCAATGATCTCGGATTGTCAACTGACAGCATATTGAACTGAGTTTCCCACATGATAGACTTCGATTGAGCGGTGGAGAAGCATCTGAATATGTCCATATTTAGGTACACAAACCCTGTAGCAGAATCTGTCACAGGAGAACCAACAAGTATGTTTAACATAGTCTGCAATGTATGACGATCATCCCCCATTGTCTGCGCATCATCAAGGAATGAAGTGGCTGTCGCCTGAGTAGAAGAACTGCCACTCTTGACTAGCGAACTTACATTTCTTTCTTCGCTCCCATTGACACATTTTGTAATGGTAAACACTCCATTTACACACTGAACATCTGCAAGCAAGTGTGTCGCATACACTTCTCTGCTCTCCCTCAGCACTTGGGGACATTCTGTGTCAATATCCTCGCAACAATTCTTATGACCTGCGCACTTCAGGTCACACGAACATGGAAGTTGTTGAATAATTCCACATTTCCCAGCACGGCTCATAATTCTGGGTTTTCTTAAGCCACTGACTAGGACTTTTTCAGTGACCCATCGTTCCAGAAGAATGGCGCAGAGAAGTACACATCGAATTGTTGCCGACCGTGACATCTCGTTAGCTTCAAGTGTTCTGTAACTCAGAAAAATCAGAGACGTAGATATATCAATGGAGAGGGTGCGTGTAACATGAATGATTTCTACTAAAAGTCGAGGGCATAAAGAACAGAGTTTATTCTGAAAAGTTGCGGAAACCTAAAGCCTTATTCTAACAAAACATACCAAAAAATTATCTCCAGGAAGACGGGTAATATGGAGCGCCCC